CGCCATCTATGCGCAATTGAAAATACTAGTAAGTCTAGTGTGTTTTAAAGAGAGCAGTAACACCTTGTAAGTCTGGTTTAATGATAGAGGTTATGTTTTACTTTGATTTTGTGTAGTGTTCTAACTACTGTTGCTGCAAATAAAGCAAGACAACTTTAAAAATGAAGAAGTAAAATAATCCTGTGGTAAGTAGAATCTGTATTTTACAATGTAATAATGACTATTTAAAAAATATTTGCCTTTAAAATGTGATTAGACTTACGAGAATTTATAAACATTTTGGTTGTGACATACAAGGTTTTAATAGTGAGTAGTCTGTTTTAATAATGTAATAACGGTATCTCCCAATCTCCTGGTACCTGGGAGAAATTATGTCCTAAACCCATTCTCCCACCTAATTACCAAAGTTTCCATTCCCATATCCTACTCTGTCAGACGGCAGCGTCAGTACCAAGATAGAGCGCAAGGGAAATGATCCTGGATCGGTATATTATTAAATACTAGAGCTGTTAAATTAACCAAACAATTACCGGTATAAGTAATCCCCCACCTGTTGGTCAACACCTACGGGTGAAAGAACCGACACGTGGTAGGGCACTTCATTGCCCTGGAGCATAGAAATTAACTCCGAAGGCGGAAGAACTAAATTAGTCAACGGCGTTGAGATGTGGAAAGCCAGGGGATTTTACCACATTAAAGATCCGTAAGGATATCCTTAGTAAAAATCATCATTAATAGATTAATGGATAATTTACTTAATGATCATGGAGCTCGGAATCCAAGATCCGGAGGGCAGGACAATCAGATTTAGACGACAGGGCCTTTCAGGTAGTCGTCAAGGTAAATCCCTGTCAAGCAGATAAAAATAACTCTATAGCCTGGAAAATCGGAACATGGAATGTAAGAACTTTATACCAATCAGGCAAACTGTATAACGCTGTGTCGGAAATGTGCAGAATGAAAATTAACATACTGGACCTTAGCTAGATACAATGGCCTGAATCAGGAAAATGTAACACCAGAAATGGAACAATGTATTATTCTGGAAACAACGACTCTAATCACAAACAGGGAGTTGGCATTATAATTGATAAGAATTCTCAGAAAGCTGTTTGTAACTTTGTTCCCTACTCTGATCGAGTACTAATGCTGTCTCTAAACTCTCATGTAAAACGTAAAATATATATAATCCAAGTATATGCACCCACTGCAGACAAAGATGAAGACACCATAGAGGGCTTCTATGAACAAATCAACAATGTCTTAAGGCTAACTAAAAGACAAGATATAAATATTATAAGGAGAAGTGGAGAATTGAGTGGGGCGATATGGACTCAGGGAAAGGAATAAACGTGGCGATAGGCTTGTCGATTTCTGTGTCAATGAGAAACTCATAATTATAAATACCGTGTTCAAACTTCCTAAACGTAGACAATATACATGGAGGTGGCCAGCTGACAATAACAAAAAAATAGTTAGAAATCAAATAGATTGATTATATGATCGTCAACAGAAGATATAGAAATTCTATAATATCATCTAAAACTCATCCAGAAGGGGACATATCCTCCGATCACAACCCGGTTGTTTTATCGATGAGAGTGAAACTAAAGAAGGTCAACAGCCTAGCACTAAGAAAATCATGGATGCAAGACGTCTCAAACAAGACAACACATATGCCGAAAATAAATTTAAAATAAACGAGAACTTAAGGAAAGTCAAAGAAGATAATGCAGAAACTCTAACTATTGACCAAAAATGGGGAAAAATTCAACATGACCTTGTGTCAGTTGGAAAAGAATTGGATTTACAGAACGTAATGCAACGCCTTAATGAACGTTGTCATGAGTACGGACTGAAGATAAATTTAAAGAAAACTAAATGCATGATCATGACCAAATCTGCACATGCAAATATCCAATTGAATATTGAAGATATTGCAATTGAGAGTGTTAATAACTATAATTACTTAGGAACATGTATAAATATTTCAATATTGAAATAGCACGTGCATCATTCATTAAACTTAAAAAGTTTCTTTGTTGTCGGTATATAAGGTTAGAACTACGCCTGAGAATGCTTCGGTGTTACGTGTTCTCCACTCTTCTTTATGGCTTGGAAGCGTGGACACTAAAATAAGTCCATCTGAATAAGTTGGTCGCCTTTGAATTTTAGTGTTACAGAAGAATCCTACGAATATCATGGATTCAAAGAATGTCAAACGTGGAAGTAACTAGAAGGATAGGAAATGAGGCGGAAATAATATTAACTATCAAAAGACGAAAACTTGAGTACTTAGGACATGTGATGAGAGGGCAAATGCGGGGGGGGAATGAAAGGGAAAAAGCAAAATGTGGGAAGACGAAGAATATCCTGGCTTAAGAACTTAAAGGAATGGTTTGAATGCATTAATGTAGAACTTTTTAGAGCGGCAATCAACAGAGTCTGCATAGCCATGATGATTTCCAACCTTCGATAGAAGATGGAACTTAAAGAAGAAGAAGCTAGTAATAAACGAATCCGCCGTGAAATGCTTGGAGCAAATTTTAGAACTATTTGACGGTTTAAAATTTTCACGGCGCATCGCTATACTCCATTTTTTTGCAATGACCATTAAATGATATAACTGTCCCCTTTTTGTGTCGCTGCGTACACTTAAATGCACTGAAAGGTAATACAATTTAAAAAAAAAATAATGTATTGAAAAAGTTTTAAATTGGAACATAACACTTATAAAAAGTTTACAAATACCTATAAGCACTTCTAGTTTCTAACGTTTTCTGCCATAAACTGACGTCACTCGCTGCGCAAAGCAATTTATGTTTGTTTCACTATTCGAAACGGGGCATACAGCGTCAGCGTGTCTATAAGCTTTAAGGTTAAGAACGTAATAGCTGATGGTGCATGAACACAAAGATCAAATAAGTCTGTATTTTCGGCCAATGCGGATGTGGCTTGTATTATAGGAAATAAGATTTATAGTTATTATCCTGAAGCGTAAAAAATAATTCCTGTTCTATTATATATAAAAAACATATTCCTTTGCAATTAAGATCTGTATTAAAAAGTAATGTACAATGCTTACGAACGGCAATTGACTGCGCTGTCAAGTATCACCGCAAAAACAATTCCAGTGACAATATAAAAATACTTGGTTTAAAACAAGATATTGAAAACTCTTCGAATCACGTGTTCAGCCATTACAAAAATTTTGCCGCTTATTTTTGTAAAAAACAAAATTTAGACCAGGAAATTAATTATATTCCAATGCAAGCGTCTGGTTAATTTTTCTATGCACACCAGATAAAATACCACTGAACAGCACTGGTTCCGACTACAACATTGTAAAGGTCGATTCAGACACATCAGTCACGTCTCGTCACAGTGATTGCGCCGAACCGAACAATCCGTCATACAAAATATTCTTTAATACAAATATGTTGCCGGCATTCACACTCATCAGTTGACAAACAGTTTCCTAGCTGTCAGATAGTTGATAGTTCTGTGACCAAATAGGACCGGTTCGGCGCCGAGAATATGACGGGACTGATGTGTCTGAATCGACCTTTAAAGGTCGATTCAGACACATCAGTCACGTTTCGTCACAGTCCTGGCGCCGAACCGAACAATCCATCATACAAAATATTCTTTAATAGAAATATGGCGCCGGCATTCACATTCATCAGTTGACGAACAGTTTCCCATCTGTCAGATAGTTGATAGTTCTGTGACCAAACAGGACCGGTTCGGCGCCGAGACTGTGACGGGACTAATGTGTCTGAATCGACCTTAATTCCGTCGGCGCGAACGAGAGGCGCGTTCTTATTTTTTCAAGCAGCGTGGGCATTCTGATTGTTTATTATTCTTTGCTTCAGGAGGTGTCCCGGTAAAGCACTATACTGTGTCCCGGTTGTATAATCGGCTCGAGTAAAAGATAAAACCATTTTTGATCTAGACTTTTCGTAAATAAAGAAATTTTTTAAATAGAGATAGCCCCATAGACCAAAACCAAATAGATGGCGAACTCAATAATGACATTTAGAAGCTAAAAGGCGACATCTACAAATTCGAAGAAACTAAATACAACGTTGCCGCTCTATTGCCTCTTATAGTTTTCTTATTCAGTTATAAATACAGAGTGCACATAAATGTGCACTCAGTGTGAAATATGTTTCGAATGTTTTTAGAAAAAAAAAGGATAAATAAAACTCATAATTAACAAAAAAAAATTTTATTTATTAATTTATTTAATTTTATAGTGTAAATTAAACATGGATATTTGCACCATACCACACATAAGTTTTGTAAAAATTATTATTATCTATATTGAATATATCTGAAGTGAATAACAAAACAAACATATTAATCAAAAAAAATGAACTTGTTAAAAAAATCTACAATTACAATAGACCATTCTTACCTTAACAAATACAGATTAAAACTTAACACTATAATGGAACAAATACAGATTAAAACTTAACTTAACACTATAAAACTTAAACACTATAATAGACTAATAAATTAAGAACTATAAATGCCACACCGAGTTAAATAAAAATACATAAAAGATCCTCAAAAGATAAACACCACCACGCTGTAAATAGTAAATAATCACACAAGAATCTTGACAAGTTGACAAATGTTGACGTTGACGTGAAGTTGCCATGTCTCTTTAAAATATGTAGGTACTGTAGCGCCATCTGTGTATTCGAAGAAACTAAAATAAATTTCAAGGTCGCCTATATGAGATAAATATCTATATGGTTTTTGTCTATGGATAGCCCACTGAAATTCACCATTAGGATTTTCGAGGATGGGGGATAACAAACTTTTAGTCTGTGTTCGATCCTATGACACAGTCCGTATGAAAAATAGGGTTTTATATTTCTATCACTTAAATTAGGCAACTTGTTATTCAAGAGTGGATTTCTTGGATAACTTAATCATAATCACATCAGAAACTAGAAGATTGCTATGACACATAAATGACGTCACCTAATCGACGTTGTTGACAGTTTCACACCCAGGGCCGGATTTTTGTGATAAAATTGCAAATCTTTATTATTTTTAGGCGTGGTTCTAAATTTTACAGGAAACAAAACAAAGTACTGAATTATTAATTGTCTAGCTATGGATGGAAAACTACCTGCATGTGTTATAGACGTGGGTACTGGGTAAGTTATAAACATAACCCAATTGTGTTTTTATACATTCAGTTTATTATTATTTATTTAGGTATACAAAATTAGGGTTTGCGGCAAATAAAGAGCCGCAGTTTATAATACCTTCAGCAATAGCAATCAAAGAAACTGCAAAAGTAGGTGATACAACAAGTCGTAGATTAAATAAAGGGGTGGAAGATCTCGATTTTTTCATTGGAGATGAAGCCTTTGATGCCACAGGATACGCTGTTAAGGTAAATATTTATCAATCTATTGTAGGATAAGCAAATTTTTCAATCTCTTTTTAGTACCCAGTTCGTCACGGTCTAGTTGAAGATTGGGATTTAATGGAAAAGTTTCTGGAACAATGTATATTTAAGTATCTTCGTGCTGAACCGGAAGATCACTACTTTCTTCTAACGGAACCTCCTCTGAATACTCCCGAGAACAGAGAATACATAGCAGAAATAATGTTTGAATCATTTAATGTACCAGGATTGTACATAGCAGTTCAAGCTGTTTTAGCTTTAGCTGCCAGTTGGACAAGTAGAAGTATACAGGAAAGAACACTTACTGGTATTGTTATTGATAGTGGAGATGGTGTTACTCATGTTATTCCAGTTGTAAGTAGATCTGTATTTTCATACTGTATCTTTACCTCATAAAAACATCATATTACTTAACATTTAAATTTTAAATACCTGACTTTTTATTTTTAGGCTGAAGGTTATGTAATTGGAAGTTGCATTAAGCACATACCTATAGCTGGTAGAAATATAACTTATTTTATCCAGTCTCTTCTGAGAGAAAGAGAAATAGGAATACCCCCTGAACAATCTCTAGAAACTGCCAAAGCAATAAAAGAAAAATACTGTTATATATGTCCTGATATAGCTAAAGAATTTTCGAAATATGATTCTGATCCTGCAAAATGGATGAAAAAATATGAAGGAATCAATTCTGTAACAAAACATCCCTTCAATGTTGATGTGGGATATGAGAGGTTTTTAGGACCTGAGATATTTTTCCATCCCGAATTTTCTAATCCAGATTTTAATATCCCTTTATCTCAGATTGTTGATGATGTTATTCAGAATTGTCCTATTGATGTTCGTAGACCACTCTATGATAATATTGTGCTTTCTGGAGGGTCTACTATGTTTAAAGATTTTAGCAGAAGGTTACAAAGAGATATTAAAAGAACTGTTGATGCAAGACTGAAGCTTAGTGAGACCCTTGGAGGAGGGAAGTTAAAGGTAAGAGTTTAATTACAAAAATACAAAAGGCAAAGAGGTCTCGCCTATATTTTAAAATTGTGGCAACTGTAGTTCATATCATGTAAAAATATGTTAAAATTCTTAATGTGATTTGGGCAAATGTCATGTCTCACATTTAAAAATTATTTCATTCTACTCTTTACGTTTTGCTATGTTTGCTATGACAGCTTAACTTAATTAATATGATTAGGATGAAGCTATAGGTTAAAATCAAATTGTGCAACCAGATTATCACCAAATCTGTAATTTTTTAGTACATTTATATTATTTATAATATTTTTAAAACATCGTAATATATCAGAAGTGATGCTTGGATTACCTGCCATGATAAATGTAGGAGATGTAGGTATTTGAGAAAAATTGGAATTTTGAAGGAAACATTTAATTTGCTTTGTATGTCAATGTTTATTGAAATCATCGCCAATGATTATTGAATAATCATAAAGGGATGCTTGAATGAAAATCATTTCTTCAATTAAGGAAGAATTGTGAATGTAGACAACAAAAATATCTAATTTAGAGTTTTTGAAGGGAAATGAAATGTGGATGCAGTTATTGAGGGGGTTGATTATTCTTGGGGGATTTTCTTTACCTATTTCCAACATTTTTCTGGATTGTATATGGCTGTCTCATCTGAATTTTTGATTTAATATATTTAATTTTTGTTGGATTACAGACCAGTCATAATATGGATTAATGAAATTTTCATTTTTTGCACTCTACAAATTATCAACATTATCTTGAAATACTGTAATATTGTTATTACTATGTTTTAATGGATTTTATAAAATGCTTTGATAATTTTGCCATAAAATAGTAATCTGTACCACAGCTGATAAGCTTCCTAAACCAAGGACCACTACAAAACCCAGTCTATGAATGCCTACACTTGTTCTTAATGATAAAATAATAGATTTGTTATATTTTAGCCTAAGCCCATTGATGTCCAAGTGATTTCCCATCATATGCAACGGTATGCTGTATGGTTTGGAGGAAGTATGTTAGCATCAACGGTAATATACCCATTTTCTTATATATTTTGGATTCTAATATTCTTCATCTTTAAATATACACATCATTTTTCTTATTAATTCCATTGCTGGTTATCTGTTACATTACAATGTTTTCATATAACTGCAAAATGGATGTCATGAAATGGATTTAATAAGAAAAATCCTAAAATTTTCAGAATTACAAAAAAATAACATACTATTTCCTCTTTTAGCCTGAATTCTATGCTGTTTGCCATACTAAAGAAGATTATGAAGAATACGGCCCCAGTATCTGCAGGCACAATCCAGTATTTGGTACAATGACATAACTTGTATTATATTTATATATTAAAAATAATTTTTATACTTCCTTTAAACGTATTGATAGCGTTTTTGATTGTTAAATATAGGTTCCGATTTTAAACAGTCAATAAAATTTTATTTATTAGTGTTTTTCTTTCTTGAGAGTTTCAGATGATTAATAGAGGATTGTTATTCACGAAAGAATGTAAGAATGCAAGGGCTGTGTAGGATATATAGATTGATTTCCTAGTTGGTACCATATTAGACATCGTTTGAACTATAAGAAGCGAATATTTAATATGATATTGAATGCTGTATTTAAAATATGACAAGAAACGGTGCAGCAACTGATATAACAGATATAGTTTCCTTAATAGACGTAGAACAATACAATTGGCTTACAATAGAAACATAATAGCTCTTTATTAAAACAAATAAGTATGTGTATCATGTAGCACAATATTTGTTTTATTGACATCTGCTGCTCTATTAAATGCTTTTGGCAGGTCTACAAATGATTTTTCAATAAAAATATTTATTTTGCTCCCACTTTTTAGGTACAAATCACACAGTAAGTGTTTTATAAAAGCATGTGACTCATTAGGGATTATTTTTCAAATATTAAAAAATAATTTGCTACAAGTCGCGTGATCATTGCAGGACCAAGGTTATCAGGGTATGCCTCCATTCAGCTGATTATTATATTGCAAATCTCAATGTTCTCGTGACTTCGTCTAATACAGTCTCATCTCGAACTGCCTATTATTGCAGGCAGAAGCTATAAGACAAAATTGAGGATACTATTTTTTGAGAGAAAAAAATAAGGGGTCAAGAATTTGAAAATTGCTTTTGACTGCAATTAAGAAAATTTTAAAAGGTCTTGTTTATATTACCTAGCTTTATTTATGATTTTTGTCATGAAATAATAAAGTGTGGGACTTCCTTTATCAACTTGTAAGCAAACAAAACGATTGTTTTTAACAAAAAAGGATTGTATCGAAAAAAAATAAAAAATTATTGATTGTTAAATTTGGATATATATTATTTGGTTTATATATCAACATAACAATTAACTGTTTTTATACAAAGTTCAAGAATTACTGAATAAGATATATTTTTAGTTCATGCCTTTTTTGAAGTAGCATTTACTTTTCAATCCTCTGTTTTCCAGTGCATAGAGTTTAACTCTATGGTATACATGGCTAACCATCTTAATGAGCTCGATAACTGAAGTCTATGACTACTTCATGTGTTGTTGAGATATCCTGCTGCTCTGTTTGCCATGTTCACTTGTTTTTGTGCTTCTTCCACTTTTCCGTAGCTTGACAGTTTTATTGTACCACATGACTACTTCAGTACATAAAGAAAAACATTGCTTGAAGCAATTATGCAATGGAGTAATATACAGTACATCGTTGTTCTGAGAAAAGGTAATTTCACCCCATTTACTATGTGAAGAAGTCCGTGTTCCTCTGATAATAAACTATCAGCGGGACCCAGGTCTACCTGGCCTTTCGGCATACGACCTTTAGCTAGCCACTAACCCCTACGGATCCGAATACCGTTTGAGGGCGGCTCGTTACACGAAGTATCACGGGGCTACACCCTCCCCATAGTACCTATGTTGCGTTACAAACACCCATCCGTTATCCCCCGTGACGGAAAGATGAGCGCAGGTAGAGGAACTCGATCGTCAGCCGCCGTGAAGCTCTCCTCTCCCACTCTTAAATCTCCAATAGTGGGTACGTGCCACAATCCTTCGCCGTTAATGGGAAAAGGACTTATAAGGGTCGCAGCTCGTTCAACCTCTCTTTGTTTCAGTGAAATTAAAGTAGAGTGGTCCCACGAGACTCGTCTCAGATACTGGGAGTGTACACCGGTGACCGTAACACGTTTCTACAATAGGGACATCTGGCCCCGGAAGTATTCTTATCTCCGCTCGCCAGACGGAGTCCTTTTACTAAATAGCATTCATACACGAAACATTATTGAAGTTGTCAAGAACAAGGCGTTTTCCACAACCTGAAAAGTGACTTTTGTGGTAATCTCTAACCCGCCATTATTTTGTAAATTTATTAACTTGCTAAATTCTCCAACAAAAGCATAAAAATGATCGGATTTTGAATTATAGTTTATTCGTCTTCCGGGTTTGGACCGTGTCATTTGTGAGTGACCCAAAAGTGGGTTCATCTCGACGTTTCGCTACAATTGTATGTAGCTTCTTCAGGAGAACAAAGAAAAAGAAATCAAAGACAGGAAGATGGGTAGTTAGCAACGGTAAATCGGATTCCCAGTAAGCGGTGCTTACTGGGAACGTCTTTGGGCTTGCAGCAGGTGGCACTTACGAAGAGATAGTGGACGGGATATATCAAATTTAGTGTTTATATTATATTATACTAAATTAAAAATAATTAATAAAGAAACTAAAACTATTACTAATAACACTAAACTAAAAATATAATAAATAAAAAAAAATACGGTATATAATAACACAATAGGCTCAACATCAAAGCAACAAACAAAAAATAAATAAAGGATGTGTTTCTCGGGAAGGGAATTTCACTGAATTGACACAAGAATAAGGCGCGACATTTAAATATGTTGGTGTTACCGGTATTATTATAGAAAATCATACAGTTTTATCATGCGGAATAGGTACTGTCCTATTCTCTTGTGACGAGCCGCATGACAAATTACACAGTGTAAACCTGTAAATTTCACTCTTGACTAAATCTTATGACAAATCATGTAGTGTAAAGTCGACTTAATAATGAACGCATAGACATCAAAATTTATCTTTTTAACATTAAATATGCATATCTTCTTGTAATAACACGAACTCGTGTCATTTCTATTCGCGAGGAACCGCGAACGCCTGGTGGTAGATTTCAAAAGCATCTACTTCGAGAAAACCTTGAAATTGTCATTATTTTGTATACATATTAGCGACTTCACAAAACTATTGCAGTGTTCCTCAATATTCATCCTATTATAATTCACAAAAAAAATTCCAGAAGTTTCTTAAGAAATTATTGGAGCAGCTAGAATTTATTATGTTTTTGTTTTTATGTTCTTTAGTGTAACTCAAAAATAATTATAATTTATATGGAAATATGTGCTGCATCCAAATATAAATATTTATTGTCATTTAAACGTTTGGTCTCTAGCGTTGTTTAAAAGGCGTGCAAGTAGATATTTTATGATTTTAACTACCTAATAACTATGAACAACACAAGCGAATGTAATCGCTGCAGCCCGATAGAATATTTTCCAATTCCCGGTCTGTAGCTAAATTCCTGCCTTGTACGTAATTATTAATTCAATATTAAGTATTTTAATTTTTCAATCATTCAAACGAACGCATTCAGTCGATCGGTCTTCATTGCAAGTGAGGAACGACCGAGGACCTACAGTAGTGAAGGTATTGGCTGTGGAATTTTGTGGTTTTGCTTCGATCGGCGTCAATCGATTTTTGTAACCGCACAATCGGATCGTTATGAACTAACGGGATTCGGTCGTTTAATACTTGAAGCGATTGAATCAAAACTAACGAATTCATCGCGATTGATACAACACTACAAAGGGAATAATGTGACAATGAAGCATTCATTCATTTGTAGATTTTAAAAACATAATTTTTGAAATAAATATATATTTACATAAAAATAATTACAATATATAATAACAAATTTTTAAAATTTCAGTTTCTATAAATAAAGAACTCCTTATCCATAAAAGTACACTAAAGGATAATAGATTATATTTTTAAATAGGTTAGGTTACAGCGCAGATAAAAAAATAATTAATATGGCTAAATAAAATACTGGGTGAGAAAAAACTAAGGGTTAGATCTACGCTGGATTTTTATATGAATCCTATTTTATGGTAATATTATTAAGGATACAGAAAATTAACTAAGTTTTATTATAATCATATTCCCATGATGCTTCAATGATGACGTCATCGTTGTTGTGTAATACAAACTACAGATCATGATTTTAAATCATGGACATATAATACAAATAGACTGAGCATCTATATAGTCGCGTCCCCCAGTGCGACAGAGAAAACTGGTCCCCGCATCTTTTTCTTATTTCCCAGGTTTATGACCTTTTATTAAATGAACAATGAGAAGGTCACGTGGTCGATAAACCCGGCCTATTATAAACAGATACAGGGACTGCTTTGCGTTAATTTTTCTATCGCTCTAGGGGAACGCGACTGTATGGCAGTAGTCAGTCTATTTGTATTATATGTCTTTAAATAAACCAAATAACCTTAGTGAATGCTATAGCTATGGTAATTTAGTAAACTCTGTGAATTTTATTGTAAAGACATATTTAGATTTTTAGGAATTTATTAATTGATGATAAAACTGAACTAATAACACTATGCGAAAAGGTTACAAGATATGGAAATCACCTAAAGAAATTTGGTTTGTTTGGAATCAAACAGCTGTTCACCTCAAACGCTCAGAGAGAGAGAGATATCACACATGAGATCTGATTCGGATCTTTCAAAAATAATTGTTGTAAAATGATTTATTATTCGTATGTACAGTTCTATAGACTGGTATAGATTTAAAAAGTGCAGATCAAAAAATCGAAATGTTAAATAATCTTATCGAATCTATACTTTTATACAAATACAATCGATGTACCTACTCATTTTTAAAATAATACCCCCCAAAACTGTAAATAAATGATAATTAATTTAATTTTCTTTCTTCCCATACAAATTACCTTTCAATAAATAATTTTTTATTAGAATCAACCAGATATAAAATATAAATTGATGGCATCAGTATTCAACAAGTAATGGAAATAAAATACCTGGGAATTACACTGTCTAGCTAATTTATATTGGAATCAAACTACCAAGGTAAGAGTTGACAGCCAGTACACCGAAAATATCAAAATACAGAGAGGAGTCCGCATCAAAATACAGTGAAGCGGTATTTCAAGAAGCGCTCTCAGACTCAATAGAAGGTATATTTATCAATGGAGAAGTTTTGAATAACTTACGTTTTGCAGACGATACAGTAATAATTACGGATAACAACAATGATTTACAGAACGTAATGCAACGCCTTAATGAACGCTGTCATGAGTACGGACTGAAGATAAATTTAAAGAAAACTAAATG